TACACTACACTACTATACACTACTACACTACACTATACACTACACTACTATACACACCACTACTATATACTACACTATACACTTCACTACTATATACTACACTACACTACTATACACTACTATACATTACACTACTACATATACACTACTATACACTACACTACTATACACTACACTGCTATACACTACACTACTATATACTATACACTACACTACTATATACTACATTATACACTACACTACTATACACTACTATTCACTACACTACTATTCACTACACTATACACTACACTACTATACACTACACTATACACTACACTGCTATACACTACACTGCTATACACTACACTATACACTACACTACTATATACTACACTATACACTACACTACTATACACTACACTACTATACACTACACTACTATACACTACACTACTACATATACACTACTGTACACTACACTACTATACACTACACTACTATATACTACACTACTGTACACTACACTATACACTACACTACTATACACTACACTACTATACACTACACTACTATACACTACACTACTATACACTACATTACTATATACTACACTACTGTACACTACACTACACTACTGTACACTACACTATACACTACACTACTATATACAACACTGCTACACACGACACCGCTATCCATACACACCTGGCAGGACCCTCCTGACAAGGGTCTCGAGACTCGACGAGGCCGTTCTGGGTTAACGAGCGGCAGGATCGATGCCGGTACTGCTAATACCTACCCAGCCACGTTCTATCCACTGCTGGATTAAGGCCTGCAATGTGTGCAAGGGGGAGCACACACGGTGACGCGTTGCTTCTGCATCGCAAAAACCGCAGCAGCAGCAGCTGTCAGGAAATTGACAAATTGTGTGGTGGTGGTGGTGGAGGAGTCGGTCACGCGCCCAGACCTGAGTTCAACACCAGACCCTGGCCTGCCCGGGGGGGAGGAATAGGAGCATCGAGGTGGTCGGAAGATGTGGAGGACGGTGATGCAGCGTGTGCGTTGAGCAGTGGGGAGCGGTGGGGTAGCGGTTAGCGCTAAGCTGCGCTACGAACCCGGCGACCCGGGTTCGATTCCCGCCCGCGGCCATCAACACCGGTGACGATCGTCTGAAGCGGTCCCGGGCCTCCCCTAGGTCGACTCGGCCTCAAATTAGTACCCGGTGCGATGTGTAAACATCGTCGCTAGGGAGACAAAGGCGGCCGGGCGTGATGCTGGCCACCCAACCCCCTCGTGTGCCGTGCCGGCCTTCGTAGGTGCTGCTCGCTAACAGCACTTGCCCCTACAGTCTGTTGAGGCTACACGGGGGGATCTTTGTCTTTGTGTGTTGAGCAGTGGGCTTATTTGAACTGCACGCACGCGCGCGTGTGTGTGTGTGTGTTCGTTAAACGTGTGTAGTGTATAGTGGTGTAATGTGTAGTGGTGTAGCGTGTAGCGTAGTCTGTAGGAGTGCGGTGTAAAGTAGTGTGTAGTGTAGTGTGTAGCTTAGTGTATTGTGTAGGATGTATTTGTAGTGTTTAGTGTGGTTTATACTCTAGTGTATAGTGTAGTGTATAATGTAGTGTATAGTGTAGTGTATAGTAGTGTAGCGTGTAGCGTAATCTGTAGAAGTGTATTTGTAGTGTTTGGTGTAGTGTATAGTGTAGTGTATAGTAGTGCATTATTTATTAGTGTATATAGTGTCTAGTGTAGTGTATAGTAGGGGATAGTGTAGTGTGTCGTCTCGTGCAATGTATAGTAGTGTATAGTGTAGTGTATAATGTAGTGTATAGTAGTGTAGTGTATAGTGTAATGTGTAGTGTGATGTGAATATTATAGTGTAGTATATAGTAGTGTATAGTGTAGTGTATATCAGTGTCGTTGTGTCGTGTATAATAGTGCATAGTCTAGTGTATAGTAGGATATAATAGTGTATAATGTATAGCAGTGTATACTGTAGTGTATAGTAGTGTCGTGTATAATAGTGCATAGTCTAGTGTATAGTAGGATATAGTAGTGTATAGTGTAGTGTAAAGCAGTGTATACTGTAGTGTATAGTAGTGTCGTGTATAATAGTGCATAGTCTAGTGTATAGTAGGGTATAGTAGCGTGTGTAGCGTAGAGTATAGTAGTTGTGTACGGTTAGCACGGTTAGCACGTAGTTAACCGTGCTAATCGGATTTGTGTGGCAGGGGACAATAATCTAAACACAGGAAGCAGTTCTAAAGAAATGAGTTTGTCAATCTAGATCAGGGGTGGGGAACGTCCGGCCACGCAGGCCGTATGAGGCCCACGAAATCATTTGGTCTTTGGCCCTGCCAAGGCAACCGCAGGCGGGACTCGAAATTCAATGAATCTAGGAGAGCAAAACCTGGAAGAGCAGTCGCGAGTAGCGGCAACATCGTCATCAATACCGGCTAACATCATCACACGCCTCGCCAAAGAGGAGCAGTTCCAGCCCCATCGCATTGCGGGGCGAGTTAATGAAATTCTCGACCAAAATATAAACGGGCTAATTTTTAAGTTGATGATTTTGTATGGCCCGCGAATGATGTTATATAAATATTCAAATGGCCCTTGGCAGAAAAAAGGTTCCCCACCCCTGATGCTAGATGATGACGATGATTTCAAAGGGCAGCACATCTCCCAGTGGCTTCCTGATATCGGTAGGGGGAAGAGCGTTCCAGACGGCCGCTGAAGCGCATCCGAAAGCGCCGTGCGACGCGGTGACCGTCATCTGTGTTCGACTGCCAAACAAAATTTGTCGTATGTAGTGTAGTGTACAGTGTAGTGTATAGTGTAGAGTAGCGTATAGTGTCGTTTATAGTATCGTGTAGTGTATAGTTGTGTATAGTAGTGTGTAGTGTAGTGTACAGTAGTGTATAGTATAGTGTCATGTATCATATTGTGTAGTGTATAGTAGTCTATAGTGTAGTGTATAGTAGTGTGTAGTGTATAGTAGTGTGTAGTGTAGAGTAGTGTATAGTGTATAGTAGTCTATAGTGTAGTGTATAGTAGTGTGTAGTGTATAGTGTAGAGTAGTGTATAGTGTATAGTAGTCTATAGTGTAGTGTATAGTAGTGTATAGTGTAGAGTACAGTAGTGTATAGTATAGTGTCATGTATCGTATTGTGTAGTGTATAGTAGTCTATAGTGTAGTGTATAGTAGTGTGTAGTGTATAGTGTAATGTATTGTGTAGAGTAGTGTATAGTGTATAGTATAGTGTAGTGTATAGTGTAGAGTAGTCTATAGTGTAGTGTATAGTATAGTGTAGTGTATAGTGTAGAGTAGTGTATAGTGTAGTGTATAGTATCGTGTATTGTATAGTAGTGTATAGTGTGGCGAATGTTAGTGTAGTGTATAGTGGAGTGTATAGTGGATTGTATAGTGCAGTCTATAGTAAAGTGTATAGTGTAGTGTATAGTAGTGTATAGTGCAGTGTATAGTGGAGTGTATAGTGGAGTGTATTGTGCAGTCTATAGTATAGTGGAGTGTATAGTGTAGAGTAGTGTATAGTGTAGTGTATATAGCATCTGAGAGCACGTGATGCAGTGACCACCGTCTTTGTCCGACGGCCGGCCATAAACCACCGCCGCTGCCGCAAGGATGACGACCGCGGGAGCTCGCGTGGTTGACGCTGATCCACGTGGTTGACGCTGGTCCACGTGGTTGACGCTGGTCCACGTGCTTGACGCTGGTCCACGTGGTTGACGCTGATCCACGTGGTTGACGCTGGTCCACGTGCTTGACGCTGGTCCACGTGCTTGACGCTGGTCCACGTGGTTGACGCTGGTCCACGTGGTTGATGCTGGTCCACGTGGTTGACGCTGGTCCACGTGCTTGACGCTGGTCCACGTGGTTGACGCTGGTCCACGTGGTTGACGCTGGTCCACGTGGTTGACGCTGGTCCACGTGGTTGACGCTGGTCCACGTGGTTGACACTGGTCCACGTGGTTGACGCTGGTCCACGTGCTTGACGCTGGTCCACGTGGTTGACGCTGGTCCACGTGCTTGACGCTGGTCCACGTGGTTGACGCTGGTCCACGTGGTTGACGCTGGTCCACGTGGTTGACGCTGGTCCACGTGGTTGACACTGGTCCACGTGGTTGACGCTGGTCCACGTGCTTGACGCTGGTCCACGTGGTTGACGCTGGTCCACGTGCTTGACGCTGGTCCACGTGCTTGACGCTGGTCCACGTGGTTGACGCTGGTCCACGTGGTTGACACTGGTCCACGTGCTTGACGCTGGTCCACGTGGTTGACGCTGGTCCACGTGGTTGACGCTGGTCCACGTGCTCGACGCTAGTCCACGTGGTTGACGCTGGTCCACGTGGTTGACGCTGGTCCACGTGGTTGACGCTGGTCCACGTGCTTGACGCTGGTCCACGTGCTTGACGCTGGTCCACGTGGTTGACTCTGATCCACGTGGTTGACGCTGGTCCACATGCTTGACGCTGGTCCACGTGGTTGACGCTGGTCCACGTGCTTGACGCTGGTCCACGTGGTTGACGCTGGTCCACGTGGTTGACGCTGGTCCACGTGCTTGACGCTGGTCCACGTGGTTGACGCTGGTCCACGTGCTCGACGCTGGTCCACGTGGTTGACGCTGGTCCACGTGGTTGACGCTGGTCCACGTGCTTGACGCTGGTCCACGTGCTTGACGCTGGTCCACGTGGTTGACGCTGGTCCACGTGGTTGACGCTGGTCCACGTGCTTGACGCTGGTCCACGTGGTTGACGCTGGTCCACGTGGTTGACGCTGGTCCACGTGGTTGACGCTGGTCCACAGCTCCTGGACGAGCGCGGCAGCGAGAGGCGACCGCCGGTTCGGAGAACGAACCGGCGGCGCTTTGCCCTGCGTGCGCTCGGGCACGTGACGAGCGTGACCTCGACGTATCGCCGGCGTGCCGCCGCGCGAGAGGCCGAAGCGGTCGGAAGCCAGCGCGGTGACGGTGGGTGTTTGTTTTTTTTCTCCCCAGGGAGACGCAGACCAACGTGGCCGTCCACGTGCGGAGCGGCGGGACGGCGGGCGTCTCGCGAGTCCACCTCACCCTGGTCCTCCTGGGCCCCGACCACGTCCACTGGGTCGTCCGCCCGCACGGCATCGTGGGTAGCCTCACCGTGCTGGTGAGCGGCGGCGGCGGCGGCGGCGTTGCTCCCGCCCGCAGCTCGGCGGAGCGAAGCGTGGACTAATCCCCATCTTCTTTGGTTCTTTCGGTAAAGTCACGTAGAATGAGAATTAAACAATAAATTGACAAAATAAAACAACACAATAATATTCTCACGACGCCTCGGCCACAACACAAGCGGCCCTCATCACCTGGTCCTCCTGGGCCCCGCCGAGGCGTCGTGAGAATATTATTGTGTTGTTTTATTTTGTCAATTTATTGTTTTATTCTCATTCTACGTGACTTTACCGAAAGAACCAAAGAAGATGAATCATTGCAGTCACGAAAGCTTTAAATCGAAATTTAATCCCCATCTGTTCCGTGTTCTCCTCCCTTCCTGTGGGTGGGCGTCGGGGGGGGAGCCGTACCCCTGGCTCTGCCGGGAGAGGGCGGTACAGCAAAGTGTGTGGACTAATCTCCATCTGTTCCACGCTTCCCGCTCTTCCTGTCCGTGGGTGGGCGTTGGCGGGGGGGCGTACCCTTGGCTCTACTAGACTAATCTGTGCAACTTTTTAAACACTATTTTATTTTACCCCGCCATCAAAAAATGATAGCCCAGCGGACCGGTTGCTTATCATCATCATCATCATCACGTGGACATTGATTGTGGCCAAGTTCTCTGAGCGTGTGATGTTGATTTTCAAACGTGTAGGGAAAAGCCAGAGGACCCAGATAAAAATCCACACGACTGCGGGGTGAGAGAGAGATGGAGAGACACGCAAACTCACAACATCCAGCAGTAGTCAGGACTGGGATCGAACCCACGACCTCCTGCACACCAGGCGGGGTAGTTAACATCTCCTAGCCACCGTGGTAAACATTTACCATTAGTTCTTTCGAAAACGTCACGTAGAAGGGAAACAATAAAATAATTAAAAAATGAAAGTTTTATATATTTTTTATTATTTTTTTATTTGTATTATTTTATTGTTTCCCTTCTACGTGGTGACTTTACCGAAAGAACCAATAATATGAATCCCTGCAGTCACGAAAGCTTTAAATCAACATTTACCATTAGATTTATTATAATTCTAATGCTATTATAATACTTCTAATTATAATCTTCCGGGGGCGAGGCAGGGGCCGATTAAAGGCCCTCTCACGTGACCCACGTGACGCACCTCCCCACCCTGTGACGCGCGCATCCACCCCCCCCCCCCCACTGTGACGCACACACCCCCACCACCACTCCCTCCCCCCCCACACTGTGACGCGCACGCCACAGGCTCGCAGCGCCACCGTGAGGCAGGGTAAGTACAGCGACGACGGCGGTGGTGAGACGGAAAACGAGGAGGAGGAGGAGGACGAGGAGCCGGAGCCGGAGCTGGCGGTGGCGGTGGTGACCGACGGCGTGCCGGCGCCGTCCGCGGCGGGCTCCCCCGGCGGCGCGGTGGGCTGGGCGCGCCGGCGAGGCCTGCCGCCGGTGCTCTCGTACACGTGGGCGGGGAGCTCCGCCAACCGCTTCGACGTTCGCATTCCGGAGCCCGGTAACGCGTCGCCGCCGGTAACCGCAGCGGCGTCGCCGGTAACCGCGGCGACGGCGGAGCCGGGGGTGCCGGTGGTGCCGGCGATCCACCTCTAAGCGTCGAATATCGGCAGCGGCTGTCCCCGGCATGAGTAACCTAGGGTCAGAGCAATCCATAGGTCGCGGTGGATAGGAGATGTTAACTACCGGGCACAGTATACAGGAGGTCGTGGGTTCGATCCCGACCCTGACGACGCCTGCTGCTGCTGTATATTTGGAGTTGCATGTGGCTATGAGATGTTAACTACCTCGCCCGGTGTGCAGGAGCTCGTGGGGCCGAACCCGACCCTGACGACGCCCGCTCTAGATCTCCACACGGTGACGATGATGATTACATTAGCCGCTAACTTCTTTGAGCGACCATTTGTGACCGCCGCGGTGTGCGCAGGAGCTACAAAGGCTCGGTGGGGCCTTACCCGGCAAGCTTAAGAACAAAACAGTTTCGTTTCCAAACCGAGGCCTCGCGTGGCCTTCGACGTGCTGGTGGTGGAGCGGCCATAAAAGCTCACGAGGCGGTTTGGCCGCGGTGTCACGAATGCCGATTTTTTTTCCCCCCGGCGCATGCCCTGTGGTGCTGTTCTGCTCCGCACCCCCTGCCCCCCCCCGGCTCCCGCTTATCCGCGCATGGGTGGCGATGTTGGCGGACTCGTGAACGCAGCACCTCGCGGAAGTGAATCGTAATTGCTGTCAATAACTGAGCTAATTAGTAAGCTAATGAGTAAATTGTTAGCATCAAAAATGTGTTGTTTTTTTTTCCCCCCATCAGGCGGTCCGGCAGTGGGGGATGAGGAGGGGGGGGCGGTTGCCGCGGCGACGGCGGCGGCGGCCGGGGAGATGGCGGTTGCCGCGGCGACGGCGGGGGCCGGGGACAGGGCGGTTGCCGCGGCGACGGCGGCGGCCGGGGAGAGGGCGGCTGCCGTGACGACGGCGTTGGGTGATGCCTCCTCCGGTGCCCGCGTGGCCGTCGTCGTGACGACGGCGGTCGTGACGGCTCCGGCTCCGGCTCCGGGCGAGGGCAGGGACCCGGCTCCGGGTTTTCCGGCCGCGACGGAACCGCCCCGCCGCGCCACGCCCGGCAGGGAGACGCCCTTCTCCATGCAGCTCTTCCACTCCGAGCTTTACCTCCAGCCGCTGGAGAGCCTCCAACCCCTCGACCTGGGCCACAGGGTGTTTGTGCAGGTGCGGGGAGAGTGCGGGGGGAGTGCGGGGGGAGTGCGGTGGGGGGCGAGGAGGGGGGGGTGACCCCGGATGCTCAACCTCCGGGGCCAATCTGACCGCCTGACCTCTTGACCTCCCTTCACCCCTTGCGTGACCTCCGGTTCAATGGCCGCGACCTCCTGCGACATCTCCGCAAAGTCCTTTCAAGCCTTTCCCCTGCTGTCTCCTCGGGTCGGCTGCGCGTCGTCGTTCGACCTGCGACCTGTGACCTCTGACCTCGCTCCGGGGGGGGGGGGTGGCTGTCTCGTTGCGATCACCCGGCTAACCCCTCCCCCCGCCCCACCCCTCCCCCCACCACCATCCCCCCCCACCGCTCCCCTCTAGGTGACCATGACATCCCAGGACGCGGACTTGGACTTCGGCCTGCTGTCGTGCCACGTGTCTCCGCACTCGGACCCCCTGTGGCGCCCCGCTCCGGACTCCAACCGGGGCGACGTCGGGCAGCGCGAGCTCATCCAGTCGCTGTGCCCCAGGGACGCCAGCGTGCTCCTGTACGGCGAGCCGGCGGCGCACGGAGCGGGGCGGCCCGCGCTTACGCGGCGCCGGTTCAGTTTCCGGCTCGGAGGTGGCGGTGACGATGGCGGTAGCGGCGGTGGCGGCAGCGGCGGCGGCGGCGGCGGCGCCGTGTTGCGGTTCCTCCACTGTTCGCTGGCGCCCTGCGTTGCCGGCGCCAGCGGCCGGAGGGCCCGGCCAGAAGGAGGATTCAGAATTCCCAGGGTGAGCGACGGCCGTGGGTGGTGCGGCAGGGTTGGTGTGGGGTGTTGTGCGTGTCTACGCGTGTGTGTGTGTGTGCGCGTGTGTGTGCACGCGCGTGTGTGTGCGTGTGTGTTTGCATTTTGACTGCAGGTATTGTGGTTAATGCAGACGTAAGTCCTTGTGAAAAGGTTTCAGTTTTGTTGCCAGAGGAAAAAAGAGGGGAAAAACCCTATCGTTACATTTTGGTACTGGCAAAAGGAGGTCTAATGGCGGTGTTTTTTGTTGAATTGTTCTACCCACGTGATGGCTTTACCGAGAGAACCCAAGAGTATGGGTTCTCTGCAGTCACGAAAGATTCAAATCAAGATTGGGCTGTTAAAAGGCTACACGGGTGTGTGATGTGTGTGGGGCGGGGGGGGGGGCTTTGTCTTCGTAGTGCTTACCTTTGGACGAGGCGTGTGGCCAGGAGCGGCCGCTCTTCGACGCCCTCACCTCGGCGCCCGTCACTCCGCTCAGCGTCGCCTTCCTGCTGCTCGCCAGCGGCGCCGGGGGCCGCGGTAACTCCCGGCGCACGCACGCACAACAACAACAACAACAACCGCCATTCAACAACAACAACAACAACCGCCGTTCGCCACTAAGTGGCGGTGACGTCACCACGACGCTTGTGCCAGGCCATGTGCACACACACACACACACACGCAGACACACGCAGGGCAAAGATAGTCCTGAGTAGCCTCCCAACCGATTCCACTCGCACCGCTGGGGCCCTAGGGGGCCCTAGGGCTGTACTAGGGGCTTAGGGCTGGTACCATGGATAAGGATAGGGGCTTAGGGCTGTACAATGGTTAGGGTTAGGGGCTTAGGGCTGGTACATGGATAGGGTTAGGGGCTTAGGGCTGTACCATGGATAGGGGCTTTGGGCTGGTACCATGGATAGGGGCTTAGGGCTGTACCATGGAGAGGGATGGGGGCTTAGGGCTCTACCATGGATAGCGATAGGGGCTTAGGGCTGTACCATGGATAGGGTTAGGGGCTTAGGGCTGTACCATGGATAGGGAAAGGGGCTTAGGGCTGTACCATGTAAAGGGAAAGGGGCTTAGGGCTGTACCATGTAAAGGGATGGGGGTGGTGTTGGTCTCCTGATCCGTGCCCTTCAAGTCTGGATCAACCATTCCACCCCCCCCCCCACCCCGCCCCCCCAGCCCCCACCCCCCCTCTCTCCGTGACCCTGACGTTGGGGGTCGCTGTGACCCCTCCACTCGCACCCACGGGACACTCGGGGGGGGGGAGGGGGGTAAATCAGAGGTGGGGGTGGGTGGGGGTGGGGTGTGTCAAGGTGTGGGGGGTGGGTGGAGGATACAAAGGCAAAGGGCCCCCCCGTGTAGCCTACACAGGCTGTTGGGGCAAGTGCTATTGGCGAGTAGCAGCAAGCGCCGATCGCGTGAAAGCCGGTACAGCGAACGAGGGGGTCGGTGCGTCCGACGCGCACCACGCCCGCCCGCCCGCCTGCCCGCCCGGCCGCCTTTGTCTCCCCCAGTGGCGATGTTCACGACGCACCACACCACGGGTTACCCGCCTTGAGGCCGAGTCGATCCAAGGGGAGGCCCGGGACCGGTTCGGATCATCGCCGCTGGCGGTGGTGGCCATGAGCGCTACGCCCCGGCACCCCCCACACAGACACAGGTGTCCCCCAACCACACTTTGCCCGCGGCCGCCTTAATCGTCTCTCCGGGAAGCGCCGATGACGTGGACGCAACGAAGTGCCACCCGACCACAGTTTAGTCTTCAACGATGGGGGGGGGGGGGGGGGGGGGCGGGGGGGAGACTTCATTGTTCCTCCCAGCACGAGACTCAAGCGGCGGGCCTTCAAGGATTCACTCCAAGCGTGCCCGAACTCTCTCCCTCAAGGCCACCTTTCCCGAAGGTTTCCTTTGACCTCCGCGGTTTCCCTCCAGCCAATCGCCTTTAACCTCGGGGGACTCCGACCGTTCCCACCCCTTTAGTCGATCGCCCCCCCCCCTCCCCCTCCGTTTCCCGCTCTTTTTTCCATTTTGTATTTCACCCTCCAATCACCCTTCAGAATTTCCCTGCCTCCAACCAATCCCCTTTTCCTGGTCCAGTTGAGTAACCAATCGGAATAGGGGCTTGTGGTTTTACTTCCTTACCACACGTGGTGTCCCCCCCCCCCTCCCCCCCGTGCCAGATTAAGCTAGTGCGGGGCCTGTAGCATTTGTTATAAAGGGGCCCTAATAATAATAAAAAAACACACGTTAAATATATAACGCATTTTTTACTTGCGCAGCAAAGTAATTGTAATTTTTTTCATTTGCTACACGGCCAGATAATAACGCCAAATCGCTAACCTTAAACGCCTCAGTCGTTCACAGAAGTTGCTGAAGGCAGTGCACTACTATAGTAATAGACAGTGCCCGATTAAGCTAGTGCGGGGCCTGCAGCATTTGTCATGAAGGGGCCCTAAATACAAATATCAATATTAAAACACACATTTGTAACTTGCAGAGTAAAGCAGTTGCATTTTTTCATCTGCTATGCGGCCAGATGATACGACCAACCGATAGCCCTAAACACGCCCGGTCGTTCATGAAAGTTATTGAAGGCGGTGGCATGGTACTATAGTAACAGAGCGAGCGCGGAATCGCTGAACCCGGAATCGACAGCTTGGGGGCGTTTAGCACGGGGCCCTTGAAAGTGCGGGGCACCGTAGCTACTACGTTTGGAGCCACTTCTGCTACCAGTCCATAAACGTCGGGCGAGTCCTCCGCTCGCGCGCGGACGCCACGCAACCCTCGCCGCACGACGGGTGCTCGTCTTGAGGCCGAGTCGACCTAGTGGAGGAGACCGCCCCACCCCCCGCCCCCCCCGCCCCCCGCCCTGGTGGCGCCGCTCAGATCTCGCCGCGGTTAATCGACGACGCTGGGCCAACCGTTTGTCGGTGACGTCGCGGCTTGGCCGTTACATCGCCCCCCCCCCCCCCACCGCCGCCCCTCGCGTCGTCGGGTGGAGGAGGGTGCACGACACGAACGTTTGTTTTTTGGGGGGGGGATGGGGGGGTTTCTCCCGTGCCGTTTCAGCATCGCCGCCGGCCCCCCTCTCCTCTTCGCCGCCGCCACCGGCGTCGGCGTCGGCGTCGCCGGCGTCGTCGCTCGTGGCGGTGATCGCCGTCGCCTCCTTCCTGCTGGGAGCACTGGCGGCGGGCGTGCTCTGTCTCGTCCACCGGCGCATGGGCGGGCATGGTGAACACCACCACCACCACCACCATGGTGAACACCACCACCACCACCATGGTGAACACCACCACCACGGTGAACACCACCACCACCACCACGGTGAACACCACCACCACCACCACGGTGAACACCACCACGGTGAACACCACCACCACCACGGTGAACACCACCACCACCACCATGGTGAACACCACCACCACCACCATGGTGAACACCACCACCACCACGGTGAACACCACCACCACCACGGTGAGCACCACCACCACCACCATGGTGAACACCACCACCACCACCACCATGGTGAACACCACCACCATGGTGAACACCACCACCACGGTGAGCACCACCACCACCACCATGGTGAACACCACCACCATGGTGAACACCACCACCACCACCACGGTGAACACCACCACCATGGTGAACACCACCACCACCACGGTGAGCACCACCACCACCACGGTGAGCACCACCACCACCACCATGGTGAACACCACCACCACCACCATGGTGAACACCACCACCACCACCATGGTGAACACCACCACGGTGAGCACCACCACCACCATGGTGAACACCACCACCACCACCACCATGGTGAACACCACCACCACCACGGTGAACACCACCACCACGGTGAACACCACCACCATGGTGAACACCACCACCACGGTGAACACCACCACCACCACCACCATGGTGAACACCACCACCACCACCACCACGGTGAACACCACCACCACCACCACGGTGAACACCACCACCACCACCATGGTGAACACCACCACCACCACCACGGTGAACACCACCACCACCACCACCATGGTGAACACCACCACCACCACCATGGTGAACACCACCACCACCATGGTGAACACCACCACCACCACCACCATGGTGAACACCACCACCACCACCACCATGGTGAACACCACCACCACCATGGTGAACACCACCACCACGGTGAACACCACCACCACCATGGTGAACACCACCACCACCACCATGGTGAACACCACCACCACCACCATGGTGAACACCACCACCACCATGGTGAACACCACCACCACCATGGTGAACACCACCACCACCACCATGGTGAACACCACCACCACCATGGTGAACACCACCACCACCACCACCATGGTGAACACCACCACCACCATGGTGAACACCACCACCACCATGGTGAACACCACCACCACCACCACGGTGAGCACCACCACCACCATGGTGAACACCACCACCACCATCACCACCACCACCACCACGGTGAACACCACCACCACCACCATGGTGAACACCACCACCACCACCATGGTGAACACCACCACCATCACCATGGTGAGCACCACCACCACCACCATGGTGAACACCACCACCACCACCACGGTGAACACCACCACCACCATGGTGAACACCACCACCACCACCACCATGGTGAACACCACCACCACCACCACCATGGTGAACACCACCACCACGGTGAACACCACCACCACGGTGAACACCACCACCACCACCACCACGGTGAACACCACCACCACCACCACGGTGAACACCACCACCACCACCACCATGGTGAACACCACCACCACCACGGTGAACACCACCACCACCACCACCACGGTGAACACCACCACCACCACCACCATGGTGAACACCACCACCACCACCATGGTGAACACCACCACCACCATGGTGAACACCACCACCACCACCACCATGGTGAACACCACCACCACCATGGTGAACACCACCACCACCACCACCATGGTGAACACCACCACCACCACCACCATGGTGAACACCACCACCACCACGGTGAGCACCACCACCACCATGGTGAACACCACCACCACCACCATGGTGAACACCACCACCACCACCATGGTGAACACCACCACCACCATGGTGAACACCACTACCACCACCACCATGGTGAACACCACCACCACCACCACCATGGTGAACACCACCACCACCATGGTGAACACCACCACCACCACCACCACCATGGTGAACACCACCACCACCATGGTGAACACCACCACCACCACCACGGTGAGCACCACCACCACCATGGTGAACACCACCACCACCACCATCACCACCACCACCACCACCACGGTGAACACCACCACCACCACCATGGTGAACACCACCACCACCATGGTGAACACCACCACCACCACCATGGTGAACACCACCACCATCACCATGGTGAGCACCACCACCACCACCACCATGGTGAACACCACCACCACCACGGTGAACACCACCACCACCATGGTGAACACCACCACCACCACGGTGAACACCACCACCACCACGGTGAACACCACCACCACCATGGTGAACACCACCACCACGGTGAACACCACCACCACCACCACGGTGAACACCACCACCACCACCATGGTGAACACCACCACCACCACGGTGAACACCACCACCACCACCACCACCATGGTGAACACCACCACCACCATGGTGAACACCACCACCACCACCACCATGGTGAACACCACCACCACCACCACCACCATGGTGAACACCACCACCACCATGGTGAACACCACCACCACCACCACCATGGTGAACACCACCACCACCACCACCATGGTGAACACCACCACCACCACC